TTTTTTGAGACGGAGGTTTCGCTCTTGTTGCCCCAGGCTGGAGGTGCGGGTGGTGGCGTCTTGGCTCACTGTAACTCCACCTCCCGGGTTCAGAGGCGATTTTCCTGCCTCAGGCCTCTGGAGTAGGCTGGACTACGGTGCTTTCTACTTGCACCCAGCTATTATTTTGTATTTTAGTAGAGACAAGGGTTTTCACTTGTATTTGCCAGGTATTCACCTGCCTCGGGCCCTCCAAAATGCTGGATTTACAGGGCGTGAGCACCGTACCCGGGCCAATGGTTTCTTTGCTTTTACTGGATGATCTGTTGTCACTGGGTGGAGAATAATACCTATGAAATTGATGCAACCAAGTGTGTATTAACTTTAAGAGGTTTTTTGCCAAGGCCATCAGGAAGCAAACTAGGTTTGTGGTGAAGCACACAGCTTAAGTTCTTTCACTTCTGTTTCTTTGTATTGGTGGTTAGTTTTTCAGGGGAGATACTTTGTTATTGAACTATACTATTTTAGACTGTTGATGGCTGCTAGGTATTCTTTGGTCAAACTGAGTTATTCTAATTTTTCCTCTGCCTTCCTAGGGGAAACACGAACCCTAGCGGAGATTGCCAAAGTGGAGCTGGACAATATGCCACTCCGTGGAAAGCAGCTGCGTGTGCGCTTTGCCTGCCATAGTGCATCCCTTACAGTTCGAAACCTTCCTCAGTATGTGTCAAACGAACTGCTGGAAGAAGCCTTTTCTGTGTTTGGCCAGGTAGAGAGGGCTGTAGTCATTGTGGATGATCGAGGAAGGCCCTCAGGAAAAGGCATTGTTGAGTTCTCAGGGAAGCCAGCTGCTCGGAAAGCTCTGGACAGATGCAGTGAAGGCTCCTTCCTGCTAACCACGTAAGTGAGGGTCATTTTCAGACATAGACCTTAGATTGCTAATTCCTTCCATGGTCTGGAAAGTTAGCCTCTAGTAACCACATTTCTATGTTTAAAGAATTTTGGTCAGCCGGGCATGGTGGCTGACACCTGTAATCCCAGCACTTTGGGAGGCCAAGGCAGGCGGATCACCCGAGGTCAGGAGTTCAAGACCCACCTGGCCAACATGATGAAACCCCATCTCTACTAAAAATACAAAAAATTAGCCAGGCATGGTGGCATGTGCCTGTAGTCCCAGCTACTTGGGAGGCTGAGGCAGGAGAATCGCTTGAACCCAGGAGGCAGAGATTGCAGCAATCAGATCACGCCACTGCACTCCAACCTGGGCAACAGAGTGAAACTGCCTCAAAGAAATAAATAAATAAAAGGCCAGGCATGGTAGATCACAAGGTGAGGAGATCAAGACCATCCTGGCCAACATGGTGAAAGCCTGTCTCTACTAAAAATACAAAAATTAGTTGGGTGTGGTGGCACACACGGGTAGTCCCAGCTACTCGGGAGGCTGAGGCAGGAGAATCACTTGAACCCGGAAGGCGGAGGTTGCAGTGAGCCGAGATTGCGCTACTGCACCCCAGCCTGACGACAGAACAAGACTCTGTCTCAAAAAAAAAAAAAAAGACTTTTGGCCAATGTAGGTGGATCACGAGGTCAGGAGATCGAGACCATCCTGGCTAACACGGTGAAACCCCATCTCTACTGAAAAATACAACAAATTAGCCGGGCATGGTGGTGGGCACCTGTAGTCCCAGCTACTCGGGAGGCTGAGGCAGGAGAATGGCACGAACCTGGGAGGCGGAGCTTGCAAATTGCGCCACTGCACTCCAGCCTGGGCGACAGAGCAAGACTCTGATCAGAAAACAAAGAGAACTTTTGATATTAAAGGCTGGGTGCCGGGGCCTCACGCCTGTTATCCCGCACTTTTAGGAGGCTGAGGCGAGTAAGCCGATGTCCTGAGTTTGAAGACCCGCCCTGACAAGTAGGTGGACCCTAATCCTCTGTACTAAAAATACAAAAAATGGGGCTGTCCCGCTGGCTCAGCGAGGCTGAAGGCAGAAAAATCGCTTTGAACTCTGGGACGGCCAGAGGTTTGCATGTGAACCGAGATAGCGCACCACTGCACTCTAGCCTAGGGCCCAGCAGACTCTTTGGTAAAATAACGAAAAAAGATTTGGTACTAAAAGTGAGCTTCTCATAATTGATTTTGCTATAATCTTATTTAATAGAGTGAATCTGACGATATGAAAATTACTTTTTTAGTGCATTCCGTACGTTTTTAATTAATTTATTGGTTGAGTTCTCTCCTTACTGTTTGAAGTTTTAAGAGCTCGAAATTGATTTGTGCATGCAGTGCAGTATCTCTTAGTGTTTACACAGTCTTTCCTTCATTGTCTGTAGAGTTCCAGCGCGTACTAAGTACTGCAATCTACCCTAACTCTGGAATATCTTTGAGCCTGTATTCAGAGATCTGAGGCTGATTTCTCCTATCACCAGATTTTCCTTTTTTTTTTTTTTTTTTTTTTTGAGACGAGCTACTTTTATGCCGGGCTGGAAGTGCAGTGGTACATCTTGGCTTATTTCAACCTCTCCTCCCTGGGTCAACACCGCGATCTCGTTGCTCAAGCTCCGAGTAGCTGGGATTACAGACGTCTGCCCTAAACCACCAACAGTAAGTTTTGGTATTTGTAGTAGAGTCAGGGGTTCACCATGTGGCCAGGCTTGTCTTGAAATCTGACCTTGTGATATCACCTGCCTTCTCTCCGCCAAGATTGGCTGGGATACATGGCATGTGCCACCCGGCGCCCTGCCCACCCCAATTTTTTCTAAGTCTTAGGTATAACTCTTCGAAAAGTGTTTGTCAATCTAGCCCTAGTAAATTCTTGTGCCAGTGATCTGTGCTAGAAGAGAAGCCTGGTGTGGGGTATGATTAACACTGAACTCTCGCTCCTTTCTCTTAGATTTCCTCGTACCTGTGACTAGTACGTGGAGGCCTGGACCAGTTAGATGATGAGAGCTGATCCAGAGAGCTGGTTATAGAAACCAGCAGTTTCACAAGTAATGGCGTCTGTGATTTCCCTATTAGGTGTTTCCTTCTTAAAGGAAGTTATAAGGGATATGTAAAAAGCAGGCAGGTCCCTTTGCTAGCTGCATGTTACTGGCAGCCAATTATCTTGGTCTCACAAGGAATGAATACTAGCTGGGGGTACATCCTGGGACAGAAGTTAGTAACCTAGGAAACTTGCTATAGGAACGAACGCCCCCAGATTGCACAGCCTGGTCCTTGAGTATCGAGTATCCATGCCGCTGGAAGGACTCATTGAGGATTGGAGAAGCAGAGCAGGAAAGTGGGACCGCAACATCAAGGAGGCTCGTGAGAAGCTGGAGATGGAGATGGAGGCTGCACGCCATGAGCACCAGGTCATGCTAATGAGACAGGGTGAGTCTAGGCCTGTAAGTTTTAAAGCTGAAAGGACAAAATGACATTTTTAAATGGGTTTCTTTGTATCAATTAGCAGAAAGGCCTAAATCTCTGCTTTTATACTTTGAAATATTTTGCGTTGATTTTGGTAGATAAGTAGATTTGGAGATGTGGCAGAGATACTGGATTCTGTGAAGAAGGAAATGATAGGTTTGACTTCATTTTGGAATCTGGACACCACAGGTGGCTCCAAAGGAATTATATCCTCTTTGCTTTCTGGATCTTTATTTGAAGAAAGTCATTAGATCTATATGAAGACAATGAGGAATATTCTTAAGTCTGTTGTTTCTTTAGATTTGATGAGGCGCCAAGAAGAACTTCGGAGGATGGAAGAGCTGCACAACCAAGAGGTGCAAAAACGAAAGCAACTGGAGCTCAGGTAACTTTTCTCGAACCCTTTCCTCTGACAACTCTAAAAGGTAATGTCTCATTCCTCTTTCCTACTGCCATGCTACCTCATGCATTTATAAATGTGTTGGCAAATATTTCCTGGCTGCTTCTCAGGTTCTTTGGATTGGAGATGTTTTTAGCTGCTCATGGTTCTAGAAGTTACCTGCTAAAAAGAAAGCTGAATACTGGTCTCATGAGGTTTCTTTGGGGGTTGCCTCAGGGCTGGGCACACTTAACAGTGAGTTTCCTGGTGAACTGTGATAGTTTTCAGTAGGCTGGTCTCCTCGGTCGAGTCCCCTGTTAACCTACTCAAGTTCTGAAATGCCTCTATCTTAAATATATTGGTGACTCTCTCTAGGCAGGAGGAAGAGCGCAGGCGCCGTGAAGAAGAGATGCGGCGGCAGCAAGAAGAAATGATGCGGCGACAGCAGGAAGGATTCAAGGGAACCTT